CCTGCCCTTCCCGCACCCATCCCGATCCCATCCTGCCCCAAAGGTGCCGGGGGTGGCGGTCACAGGGCTGGGTGCAGGATGAGAGCAGGGCTGGTGCAGCTCTGGGGAGGACCCAGGCGCCCGTCAGTCCCTGAACCCCGGGGCCAGCAGGGCTGGGACGGGACCTCCCCCCAGCCAGGAGTCAGTTTGCCCACCCGGGGGCACGGAAAGCCGAGGACGGGGGAAGAGCTCGCCTTTGGCGTGGGCCTGGGGGGCCGTCAGGGCGCTCAGCCCCTGCCAAGGCTGCCCCAGACCGCGGCTGGGGAGCTCAGGGCCGGGGGCTCCTCCATCCCCCGCCTCCCCGGCGTTGCCAGAGCAGCGGCTGGGAAATTGTGCTGACACCGGCAAAAGCGGGCGGCGGGGGCGGGGGAGCGCGGGCGCACGTGCTCGGGCTGATAACGGGGGGCTGCGGGGGCTGCGGGGAGCCCGGACTGCCCGGCCGGGGGGCCCTGCGTGGGAGAGACCCTCCCAGCCCCCTCTCTTTGAGGCTGGGGATGCTGCGGGAGGCTCGAGCGAGCGGGCAGGCAGGTGAGAGGAGGCAGGAGAGGGCAGGAGCAGGCAGGTAAGAAGGGGCAGTGTGCCGGGCAGGAGCAGCTAGGAGGGAGCAGGAGGGCAGCATGTCGGGCAGGGAGAAGCTCACTGAACCCACTGTGGTACAGTGATCCCCAGCACCCCTCGAGTGCTGTCACCAGCCTGGCCACGCCGTGCAGGGTCCCATCGATGTGGTGGCTTCTTTCCTGCCTCAGTTTCCCCATCAAGGTGGGAGGCTGGAGGCCACCCCCCCATCAGCCACAGCCTGACGGAATGTGCCCACTGTGGGCTGGGACTGGGCCATGCCAAGCACCCACCAGCCTGCAGCACCCCAGGGGTCCCACACTATTGCTCCTGGCCCATCCTGGTCCCCCTTAACCAGGGCCAGAGCGACCTTAACAGTGAAAGTGAGAGGCTGCCAGGCCTTATCAGAGAGTATTTACAGCCGCTGTGTTCCCAATTAGACAGTCAGGTGACTGCGGCTGCTGGGGACCCAGACACTGGGGTCAAGGTCGCCGGTGGAGGGGCGGGGGGTGGTAGAGGGGCAGCTGGCACCTCCCAGGGACAGCAGCTGGACACGGCATGGCCAGGGAACCTGCCAGCACAGCACCTCAGTGAGGCACACCAGGTTGCACATGAGGACCCCGTCCCTGGGGGTCCTGGTCCCTGCCTTCAGCTTGGCCACTGTAAGGCTCCTAGGCCAGCATCTGGGTGCTCCCAGTTCAGCCCAGTCCAGGGTACTGCAGCCCAGAATGACACTGCACCTCCAGCTGAGCCAGCACAGGGCGCTCCCAGTCCAGCCCAGCATGCAGCAACTTCATCTTAGTACAGGGTGCCCCAGCACAGCATGCAGCACCCTAGTCCAGCCCAGCACAGCCATATCTCAGCCCAGTACATGACACCCCATTCCCTGCCCAGGTGCACAGGGCACCCACAGCCCCCAGCCTGCACCCTGGGCCCCCCATTCCCAGCAGAGCACCCACCCTTCCCCGTGCCCTGCTGGGAATCGGTGGTGCCAGGCCCCGTTGGGTCCCTGCTGCCCTGGAGTCATGTGCAGGGGCACGGGTGTGTGGTGCTGGCAGCACATGTGCTCACACCCTACGAGACACGGCTGGGCAGGCAGCTCCTGGCTGCACACGCGTGTGCAACCACGAACATGCCCCACACCAGCCCAGGGTCCCACATGGGCCCTGGGGCAGGGTCTGGCCCTGGCTATTCCCTGCTGGTGGCTGTGCCCTGCTTTTCCCCAAAGCCACGAGAGCCTGGTAATCCTGCCAAACCCCTCCCCTGAGTAGTGGGGGAGGTCACATGCCTGCCCTGCCTCAGTTTCCCCAGTGACACCCAGCATATCCCACGGATGGCTGGGCAGAGCGTGTGCCCACACTGATTCACAACACTGGCACTTGATTTGCTGGCACTGCCGGCACCACGGTGGCCTCTGTGGTGTCACTGTCTGTCCCTGGGCTCTGGCCAGTACCAGGAAAAGAGCCACCAGTCCCATGTTCCCTCTGCTGTGGTGTTGATAAGGGTGGGCTCACGGGGCCAGGGAACATCACCCACATGTGTGGCATGGGCAGGAGGTGCTGCCAGTGGGAACCAATATGCTGCTACCCCCACACACCTGGATAGCCTGGCCTGGCCAGAGGTGGCCATGAACCCCTTGATCACCCCATGGGCTGCAAATCACAGACCCTCCTGTTTGAGCCCTGTGCAGCAGCCCAGCCGTCACCTGGGATCACACAGCATCTCCCCTGGCTCCTCACACACCTGGGGGCGCTGGCAGGGTCTGTGGGGGACCCCAGCTGCTGGCAGGGTGTCTGTGCCAGCATGTCACCAGCCAGGGACAACAAACCTGCCCAGGTAAAATATCTACTTAGGAGCTTCCCCTTCCCAGCATGCGGGGAGATGACATGAGCTGGTGGTGAGGACAAAGGCTCAGGGACCCAAACTGAGACCTGCTGCCTGCACTGCACATCATGACTCAATTTCCCCCTTTTGATTGACATCTTTGATTTTTCATTGCATCCCTGCTGCAATGAAAGCAGCCAGTTCTCCCAGCAAGTTCATGGGACCCCCAGGCAGGTGAAGGGCTGGAACCAGCATCCCCTTAGGAGCTGCCCCCACCCATGTTACTGCTGTGCCCTGACTTCACTGCCCCTGTCCCTGCTCTGCCATCAAGGGGTTGGCACCGTAGCCCATGGCAAATGGGCACTGCTGGACCTCTCCCAGCTCCAGCCCTTGGGGATGCATTAGGAACAGACTGCCCCTTCCTTGCCCAGGCTGCCTACCCACTCCTCTCAGCTAGATGCAGGATGTGGGGTTAGCTCTGGATTTAACCCCCAAAACTCCATGCTGGGAATGCCCAGAGACAGGAGCATGCTCAGGGACCTCTGCATCCTCCTGCTCCTGGGCACCTGGGATCTGTCATGGCTGGGGAACAGGGGCCAGGGTTGGGGGCACCCACCCGAGAAGCAGTTTGGAGACAGGGAAGCACTGCAAGGTCTGTAATGGGAAAGGTGTTCGGGAGCAGTGTCCCCAGCTAGAGATGGGGATGGGAAAACTAAAACAAATCCCCCCGGCGCTGGCTGTGGCAGGGCACAGCCAGGCTCTGCCCTGCATGCAGACAAGCACCCACCTCTCTCACGGACGAAATACGCCAGGTACAGGTCAAGCTCCTTGACAGAGACGCTGATGTGGTGGGGCTGGACGCAGAGGATGGGGTTGGTGCACTGGCCTGACTTGACCAGGCGCTCGCCGTCGGTGCTCTCCAGCGGGATCCCTTTGAAGAGGATGACCATGACCAGGTCCAGCCGCCACACCTTGTCCGCCTGCCGCAGGCAGTCAATGCGGCGCATCTTGCCTTTCTGGTCGGGGTTGGAGAGGACGCAGCACGAGGGCTTCTTGCCCGTGATGGAGAGCACGAAGTCCTCGCGGCACTCGGGCCGGATGTCCTTGCGCAGCTTGGCCAGGAGGCGCGAGGCCCATTTCTGCTTCACCTCCGGCTTCTCGCTCAGCAGCTCATCCTTCACCGCCCTCTCCTCATCCTTCGTCATCCTCTTCTCATGCTTTTTGAAGTACTTGCGCTTGCGGGCCTGCAGGTTGAACCAGGTGTAGGCAAAGGCCCTGACGTGGGGGAGCAGCGCCTCGATGAAGGGGTGGAACTCATCCTGTGGAGCAGAGAGACAGGGGGTCATTCCTGGCCGAGTCCCTCCAAGCTCCCTCCCGGGATGGCTGCGGAGGCTTGGGGGGCTGCCAGGATCATTCTCACTGGGCTGTGTCCCAGTGTAACCAGAAGAGAAAACTGGCAGAGGCACATACCCACCAGGGATGTGGGTCCTCTCACCATACAGAGAGGTTATCCCAATCGAGCAGACCTCCATAAATCCCACTGCCTGCCATTTTACCAGGCCAACAACCTGCGGGGAGTGGCTGGGCAATATTGGAGCCAGTGCTGCAGGGGGACAGGCACCTGCACAAGGTTGGCCACCTCAGCAGCACCTGGACCCTCTCCCCTTTGCAGGATCTGCATGCCAGGATCTGTCCCACCAGGTGGAGAAATCCCACCTGAAATCCCAGCTGACACTGTGCCCACCAGAGCCTCTGTGCCGGCGTCAGGCGCTGCCAGGCCACAACACCCCAGTGTCGGGTCCCCCATGCCTGCAGCATGCTGGGTGCTGCCGCTCGAGCTGTAGGTGCCTTGGATCTCTCCACTCCCTCTGGACCAGTGGGAAACTCCCCCAGTTCGCCCCAGTTGCAGCCAGCCCGGCGGCTGGCGCCTGGCCCGGCACACAAGGCGTGCTCTGACTGCCTTTTTCCATTTGGTGAGAGCTGCTGGATGAGTCCGGCCCCAAAAAGAAAACAAGGAAAATGCATCCCCCTCCCTGGCCCCTCCTTCCCGCATCCCATTTTTTTTTTCCAATTTGGAAAATCAGTGCTTCCTGGCCGGGGGGCCCACAACCCCACCATGGGATGGAAAAGTGTTGGGAGCCTTCCTGGTGAGGAGCAGCACAGCTTGGAAAGCAGCAGGCAGAGGGTTGAACATCCCCGTGTGTAGCCAGGGCAGCACCAAATTGGTCCTCAAAGGCAGGATTTGGCCCTTGGGGTCCCTCATGACTGTGGGGAGGAGGAAGAGAAGGAGGAAGAGAAGGAGGAAGGAGCTCAGTTGGATTCCTGCTACAGGGTGTCAGGGCTGAGAGGGGGGTGGCTGGTGACAACTGCCACTGCCATGCCACAGAGTCAAGCCTGCGGAGGGTGCCAAGGGCAAGTGCTGCTCTGAGGTGAGGAGGTGGCCACGGGCAGGAGCTGGCAAAGGACAGAGCTGTGGCTGTGGGATGGGGTGAGTGCTCCAGATCTGGCCCCACTCATCCCAGAGCAGTGATGCCATTCCCTGGCTGAAGCAGCTGTGTCCCAGAGTGACCCTGCCTGGAGGGAACAATGTCCCCTGAAACAGGCTCCCAGCAAGGACCAGCCCCATACAGACCCTGCTAACTCCCACTTGTTCCCAAGTCCAGGACATGTCCCATTAACCCTAAATCTGCTCCCCCAGCACAAAACCTGACAACAGCCAGCATGGGTCCCATGGCACAGCCATGGGTGTCCCCTGAACCAGTGACCCCTACCCAGACTGCTGTGACCTTGCACAGATGTCTCAGTACAGACCTCATTGTCTCTGAACCCAGCACCAGCAACTGCCAGCCCCAGCCCCTGGAACAGCCCCACTAACCCCACAAAAGTCACTGCAAGCACAGATCCTTCCTCATGGGACAGACCCTGCCATCTTTGGGGGCCACCAGCCCCTCTCTGGACCCAGAGCTGTGGCCCCACAGGTGTCCCTCCCGTGCCCAACAAGGGACAGGGGACTGCCCCCTTTTTGGGTAGCCCATTGTACCCATAACGACCCAAATCTGCAGGCAAACCCATCGTCACCTTGGGGCCCCGTCCCTGGCCAGGGGATTCATCCTGCCAGAGGAACCCCTCCTTGCCTGGAGGGGCCGTCTCTGCCTGGGGAGCCTGGCCCTGCCGGCTGCTCCCGGGGCGGCCACAGGGTCTGGTTCCCGCTTCCCTCCCCAGCAGCAGCCGCTAATTCAGTGCAGCTGGGCAAGGGCTGGGCATGTGTCTTAAATCAGAGAAGAAGGTCAAAGAAAAGTAAGACAGGAGCCGAAAAAAGCAGCAGTGAGTTCCAAAAACAATACTTGGCCAGGGCGGTGGGCGGCTGATCTTCCTTGGTGGCCGGTTATTCAGACGAGCCCGACAAATTGCTGCCATCCCCTGGCCCCGCCACCCTCCCCAGGCTGCCGGCGGCAGGGCTGGCCGCAGGGCCGGGGGGACACCACGCCATTGTCCCTATCCCTGCTCTCCCGCTTGGGAAGTGCCACCCCAGGCACCACTGCAGGGAAGCGTGGCAGGAACCAGGTTATCCGGGTTGGGTGAGGCAGCACCCTTGGGTGCTGCTTGTGCTCACTGTGGGGTCAGGGGGTGCTCGGTGCTCTGCCTCGGCACGGCAGCAGCGAACCCCAGTTTCTGTGCCCTCCCCCACCACGGTGCCGAGAATTTGCAGTTCTCACTTGGACCCACAACCGAGACTCTACAAAAACCCGCTGCGTGCAGAAGCCCCTGCGGCCCTCGGTGCCCCCGAAGCCATCGCAGCCCCCCTCCCCCGCTTCCCCGGGATTACGGCGGGCCGGGAGCGGCACCCAAAGCCAATGAGCCCCGGCCAACTTTCCCTCCCGGCCGGCTTAACCCGCGCCGCGATGCCGCGGTTAAGCCGCTTTAGCAGGGCAGGCGAGGGCGGCTGGGGGGCAGCAGGACAAGCACACGGGAGCGGCTGCTATTGGGGGCTGAGGGGACACGCTAAAGGACGAGGGGACCGTCCCCAGCCGTGGAGCCAATGAGCCCCTCGGCCGGGCACATCATCCCGGCTGGCACCAGCCGGCTTCACACCGGATCCGCTTGGGAAGGCAAAGACAGGGATGCACCGTCTGTCTGTCCGTCCCAGGCCCAGATTCCCACCGGGTTCCCCTTACGCAGCAGCCCGAGTGCCGGCAAAGGACTGGTTAAGTGTTTCTCCTGCTGTTTTTCCTTTGCGGGGCTGGGAAGCAGAGACGTGCTGCAATACCCCAGACGAGGCTGCTCCCGGGGCATTTCCGGATGGGAATCTGGCAGCAGAGCCTGCGCTTGGGCCTCATCCAACCCAGGCTTGTAAAGCCCTGCAACCCAGGCAGGAGCACGCCTGCGTCGGGTGCTGCCGGCCCCGCTCCGGGCCCCCCTGCACCCCCTTTCCAGGGGCTGCTGGAGCACTAGCTTTCCATGCCAGGTGCTGTGAGGGGAAACTGAGGCACGGGTCAGGCCCGGCTCTGTCTTGCGGTGGACTGGTGAGAGGAGGGAGGGATGCTCTGTGTGGAGCTGGGCATGCCATGGGGGATTAACTCCTCCGCAGCCCAGCGTTTGTTAGCGCCAGGGATTAGGAAGGAGCACAGCGGAGGCGCTGCCTCTTCCCGTGCTTCTGCCACCGGCTCGGCAGCGCTGGGGCTCCGCGCTCCCGGAGCCTCACCCCCTGGGGACAGGGGATGCTCCGTGCCACGCAGGGACACAGCACCTGGCACAGGCACCGCGGCATGAGCTGGCCACCCTCCGAGCATCCTCCGCTCCAGCGCCTTGCCCAAACAGGTCGGGCTCAGTGAAACAGCCTGAATTTTCCAATGAGAAAAAAACCACGTTTCCTCAGGAAATTCCCGAGCAGTTTTCACGGGGGAGGCGCTGGGGTGAGGGGCGGAGGAGGAGGAGCGGGACGGGAGGGGTCAGACACCTCGGCAGTTGATTTTGCTCCCCACCAGCGCAGCCTCGGTTGCAGGGAGGAGCGGGACAACCTCGCTGCACCGCAGCCCTGCAGAGACCACAGAGGGTTCACTCTATGAAAGGATGCTCAGCCGCCCCTCCAGCAGCCGCACACCTCCGAACTGCTGCCGGCTCCCACGGCCGCCGCTCCTGCCAGGTCCCGCTCCCCGCGGCCCTGCGAGCCCGGGCAGGGGCTGGCAAGTCGGACGGCGGGCTCCGTGCCCCCACGGGAAGCCGTGGCGGGGTAGGGGGAAGGATGCGACTACAGGGGTTACGGTAATCCTGAAAATCCCGGTACCTTAAAAGGGCACAGCGAGGATTTGCTTTCCCCTCGCCAGAGCCCGCGGATGCCCTGAGCACGGAGCCTCTGGTAGCCGCTTATAACTGTTCGCCGAAG